AAAAAGTTCTGAAAAAATAACAATATTTCGGTCATAAGGGTGATATACCCACACCACTTAGTCCGTGTATTTTCCTTAGTTTTCAAACGGAAGCAGTATCATAATGATAATAAATTCGTGGATTCCACGGAACCCTATGTTTCACACGAGATTGCTGCTGTCAGTGAAAAATTGTAATGTTGACTTTAAAAAATTACTAAATAAAGTAAGGAGATGTGGTGGTGGTGGTGATTGCCAATGAGACAACTAGCCGCCAGAGTTTAAATAAAGAGGATGTCAGCAATCATAGGCAGCCGTATGGCCTTTAACAAATCGTATAGTCGGCTATAAAAGCAACCACGTGGAAATGTGAAACAGTTCGATCGAGAAATGTAACGGCCTTATTTATAACTAAACAATTTACGAAAAAGAAATATGAAACACATGAACCAACGAAAACCATTAAACTACAGGCTCTTGACTTGGACAGGCATATGCAGAATTTGGCGGAATTGAACATGTCTGTGAGCGCTCAACCCTAACCCTTACATGGGACCGCCGTGTAACAGCACAACAAAAACTATAAAATCAGTTGCAGCTGGCTTACTCAATAAATCGGTATTACTGGCCAATATAAATTCATCAAAATCCGGCGTAGATCTCGATGCTCCGGTAGAGTAAGCTGAAGCTGATCCTGCACAACGTGAGTCACCTCTCGTGTTATTCGTGAAATTACAAACCCAGTTATTTGGTCTAATGTGGTAGGTCATCCTCGAGGAAAAGAGGACGGAATTGTGGTTACGAAAAAAAAACTGTTTTTTAAATCTTGTATGTTACAGAGATATAAACTTTTTACAGTCAACATTACAATTTTACACAGACATCAGCAATCTAAGGCGAGACAGAGGGTTCCGTGGAATCCTTAACGAATTTATTATAATACTGATTCCATTGGGAAAATGTATTTTTCCGCATTTCGGAGTATAGCGGGAAAATGTTGTCTAAAAGGAACGCTTTTTAAGAACGGTATGTTATGGCGTTTTTTTTATACGACCGCAAAAATTAAAAAATGTTTAGTCGTATATTGGTATCACGTTGTCGTCGTCTGCGTCGTCGTCGTCAGCGTCGTCCGAAGACAGATGGTTTCCGGATAATAACTTTAGTATAAGTAAAAAGAAATCAATAAAATTTTAACACAAGGTTTATAACCACTAAAGAAAGGTTGGGATTGATTTAGGGGGTTATTGTCTTAACTGTTTTGGAATTAGGGGCCCAAATAAGCATTTTTGTAGTTTCCAGACAATAACTTGTGTAAAAGTGTATGAATCTCTCTGAAATTATACCTACAAGTTTCCATACAACAAAGGGATGGTTAGGATTTACTATGGGGGTTATGGCTCAAACCATTTAGGAATTAGAGGCAAAAAGGGGAAAACAAGTTTTTTTCTGGTTAAAGGACAATTAAGACAATTTAAAAGCAGTCTATGGGAGGTAATCCAATCCCTATTTAAAACAACAATATTTGATTACCTCCCTTACACTGCTTGTAAATTATGTATTAAGAAATGGTGATTGTCTTGAGGTGATTAGCTGTCAATTTATTTTTAAAAGTTAAGTACTACTAATCAATATTAATTTTAGCCATGACTATGTATGTCATTTTATATTTTAAGACTTGTATGGTGTATTTAAATGGGTAACTATGGTTGAAAACTTATTTAAAATTTGAATTAAGATTATGACTATATCTTGAGGGAATGATTTTTTTTAGAAAAAGGGAAAAGGGGAGGTGAAAAAAAATGGGAAAGGGGGGTGAATAAGAATTTGTGGAGGGACTATTTTTTCTCATTTCAGATTTCAGAAATTAAAAAGAAAATTTCTTCAAATATTTTTTTTGGGGGGGTTAATATTCAACAGGATAGTGTATTGCACAAAAAGCAAAAAAACGGGGTCAATTTTATTTAGGGGGAGGGGTCAATTTACAACAGCATAGTGTATTGCACAAAAGCAAAAAATTGAATATATATTCAAATCATATAACCAATTTTTAAGTTCTTTGACTACAGTTATTCTGTGGCAGAAACCTATTATGTGTCAAATATTTAATTACAATCCAAATTCAAACCTGTATCAAGCGATAATATTGTGTCCATTTTGGTCCAAATTTTCAGGGTTGGACATCTGCGGTCGTATCCAGCTGCGCTCAGCGAAGCAATTTATATTATGTGTAGTTCTGAACATGGTTACGTGGACCAATCATTTGGATTGTGTCATTAAGTATTCTTATGTTAATGAGGTGAAAGCGGGTTTTAACATTCTTTTTTGTTTGAAAATCATTCTAGCCGCAGACGTTCAACACTAAACTTCAATATTTTATAATATTTGATATTTATATATTATTTTGTTTTTGATGAAGTTCGGCATCAATGTCCTGAGGCGTGCCTTGCACTTGCTCCGTTAGTAATCTTTATTGCAAAATTACACCCATAAGGGTCAAGCAATATAATCAAACAATTATATACATTACCATGCAATACAATACAATGTAATACGATACAATATATAGAATAATAGAACATATTTTAAGAGTTCAATTATAAATTTATGTAAAAAAAACACCATCATAAGCTTGTCTCACATGAGTCTGACCCCCTCAGTTCTAAAGACTGCTTAATGAAGACTCCAATATGACAAACAAGTTCAGGAACGGGGTTTAGAATGTGTTTTAGTTTATTAAATGCATCAAGATGTTGAAATAATGGTACATAGTCTTTTAGATAAGCAAAAAAATTAGAACGCAATGATATGTTTATGTCACAATACAGAAAGAAATAAAATTCTTCATCTAGCATTCCACATTTTTTACATAATCTTTGTGCTCTTGGAATGTTTCTGTACCTTCCCAATTCAATGCCTAGGGAATGATCACTAAGTCTAAATTTTGAGATTAACTGCCTATGTATAAAATTATTGCAATTTAACTGACAATTATTTTTTTTTATTTTCCATAAAGACAAAGTTTAGATGAGGAATCCATTTTTGAAAGTTTATTTAAAGTAGTTTTTTTTTCATATTCCTCTGAAACACACTTTTTAATGTTACATTTTAACACGTTTTTTATTGTTTATAAGGTACATTAATATAGAGTAATTTTCTGGGTTTATTTTCATATCTTTACAAATTTTATCTGCAAATGAGTACCAAGAATAAATTCGTGCGGAACGTAAATTTATGTTTGTTTGTAGAGATTCTTTAACCAGGGGATTAATATCAAAAATACATGAGTGTTTGAGTTTTTATATAAGAGTCCAAAGTAAATCTACCTAATTCTGATCTAGCACCTATGTTAGTGGCTGTCTTTTTCAGTCAACTAATAATGCTTTACAAACTTTAGAATTAACCTTCTCAAAGGGATATTTTTCTGCTAATGCAAGAGTATCACAAAAAGTGTTATTTACAGCAGCTCTATTAGATGCCATAAAAGCTGACTGAAAATTATCCATATACCAAATTTCAGAGTTGTATGTCAAAATAGGTCTTATAAGAGTATCAAATAATTTACATGACAAATTAGTGGGAAACAAATTAAAATAGTCTGCACGGCTAAATGCATTGCTTTGTGTTTGTTATTGTTGTAGTGTATGTAAGATCTAAGGAAAATAAACAGCCGGACTAAGAAATGTGGGTATATCTCCCTTATGTCCGAAATATTGTTTTTTTTTAGTACTTTTTTTCTATTATTTGACTGCCGTTCCCCCTTTTCATAACAAATAACTCTGAACATCAACTCGAACTTTAATTTGAACTTGAACTCAATGGATAGCTTCAAACACCCGAAGCACATTAAAAAAACGACTGATATGGACATCGATTTGGAAATAGACCTATGTTTTTTCCAAAATGGTCACGTGGTTTTACCTCATCATCAAATAAGCAAGTTGTCGACTTAATCTGTTAACAAGATGAATTCAACATGTCGACTTCTTATTACTTTGTCATTACATATATTCTAGCAAGTCGGCATTGTAATGCAATTTTTTCTTCATCATTCGACAAGTTGACTCCACATGTTGATTTGATTCCAGCTTATTACACACAACATAACTAATAATTCCGACTTATTTGCAACAAAATAACTTTACAAGGGGTGTACTATATGCGCGTCCATACAAATGTCTTCTTAGCTTGTAAGAATCAAAATAGCAAAACCTTTTAGCATTGTCAAGCGTTATATTATTTATGTTTTACGTTTTTTTACTCTAGAAGTTTAGATTGAGTTTTCGGGCCAATATGTATTCAAACTCTATCCTTTTTCAAATGATCTCAATGAAATGTATAAAATTTTGACGTTGAACATTGTCGACTTTTTATCGCAACATCACAATACCGAATTTGACGTCCTAATTGAATTTTGACTAAGGAGTGAGATGAAGCAAATCACACTTTAAATAAAAAAATTTACCAACTACGTTCATGGAAAGTATAAATCAGTAAAGAATTAGAGAGATGTGTGAAACGTTATTTTTCCTCTCGAGACGGTTAAATTCACAAATTGAACACGTGAGGCGTGACGATAGCGAAGTCTTATCGTATCGCACGAGATACAGTGCTGGGACTGTTTTTGTAATGATTTTTCGACGATATAAAGGCAAAATTTATCTTAATTTCTTTTTCATTGGTCTGTAAAGAGATTGTCAACTTTCAATGTGACATCAACAGGTCGTCTCTTTTTGTTATGCCTAAAACAAGGACATCATAAATGAATTTTGAAAAATAATGAGCCGTGGTCAACCAACCACGCGTTGTTCAAAAATCAAAACAATCAGTGCGCTGGGAAAAAGTATAAATCGGCTAAGAATTAGAAAAATAAATACTTTTTTTTAGGTTTAAAGTCCTTGGTGTAATTGTTTGTCATAATATCATGTTGAAAGTAAAATTACATACATAGCTTATTTTGGTCAATGGCAAACTGTGACTCATGATGAGTAATCTAATATGGTTTTATATTGTCATTAATTTAGAAACGGATTTCGTCGCAAGTGTTATTCTACCAGAACAAGATACATCTATGCCGAACGAAGCCTGGGACAGAATAAAAGATGATCAAATGCAGTCATTCCTAATTCCTATGAACCACAAGTCACCAATACACAGAGATAAAATACGTTTTGTATGCATTTCTGATACCCATACACAAATTGAAAAGCTCACAAACTTTATACCATCAGGAGACATATTGCTTCATGCTGGTAATTTTACAAATACTGGTCAACCAGAGGAAATAAAACAATTTAATGATTTTATAGGTAAGAATGAATAAGTTTGGTGCGTTTTCTTTTAAATTGTCCACCCTTTATCATACTTAATATGATTTGATACAAAATTCTAGCGGGGAAATCGAAGAGCAAACTTAAATCAAGACAATAAAAATTATAACTTTCACAGTTATTTCAATATCAAAATAATAAGCAGATGCGGTATGATTGTCAATAATACAACCTTTTTATAAAACCAAAAGGATAGAGATGTAAACAACTACAATAAACATACCCCATATCGTATAGAAAGCTATACAAGCTTTTTAACAAAACGTTTAACAAAACCAATTGTTTATCCAATGTTCCCATATGTTATAGAGCACATATGAATATCACCATATTCGTGTTTTCAGAAGAAATCAATTAGTTTCGATATGTGGAGTGAAAAAAAGCTTCAAAACGACAAAATAACCGAAACCCTTATCGTCGTAACATTTAACGTCATGCTGCAAAATCGACGTTTTTCATGTTTATTTTATTTTTATACATTACCATTCTTTGTTGCAAAAAATTGGCGCGACGGGTGACGAGCTCAGGGCTCTCAGTCACAAAACTTTACTCAGAACTCGGAGTACAAAATTTGTGCTCGAAACACCAAATCCATGATTTTGATTGGTTGATTTCTGAGTTCGAGTACGAAAATCGTGCTCGAAAGTTTTATGACCGCAAGGCCGGGTTTGGAGGCTTCATATTCCAATTCAGTACGTTTAGTTAAAACAATTTTTACGCTAGAACTTCTAAAAAGTATATATACGCAAATGTCATGTATAACGTACAACATGCTTTGATTTCATTTAATAAGACTTGAATAGACCAAAATATGCCCAAATATGTTAGTTACATGACTTCCATGATTTGTTGTCTTTAGAAATTAGATCAAACCGGTCATACCCATACCTAAATGATGTAATTAATAAATAAAAAAACAATTTCTGGTAGCAACCCATATTTCTCATTACATTGATTTTGTTAGTATTTGGGCCGTATGCATTTTTATTGAATTTGTTGCAAAAATTGCCATTAGAGTTTGTACTCGATCACTTTCAGTTAGCCCTTTAGAAGGCCACCTGCTTTCAATCCTAATGAAAATGTCCAAACTGATGTATCAGGTACCAATATAAAAGTATAACACTTTAATCATTCATTCAAACATATCAGGAGTAATACATCGGCAAAGTTACCGGAAAATCATACCAAATTTTCCCCATACCGACTAGTATCATTTTGTTTCATACACGACGGATACGATCATACACGACGGATACGATCATACACGACGGATACGATCATACACCGCCGTTGTCATATAGCACACGGAAGGTAGCTTTAATTCAAAAGACTCTTGGTCACTATGACTTACGATTTTTGGCAAACCAGGAATCACCAACACATTGGACAGTACAACATTAAACCACACAAATCTATAACACCCGACTCCTCCGAAAAAATAAACGTACAAACTAAGACACACCAACACCAAACAACACATAGTTCCGATAGCCTGACTTGATACGGGCACAAAAAATGATCAAGTGAAACCACTCCACAAAGAAATCAATGTTTTTGTTTTTTATTAAAAAAATTTGGAAACTATTTTAATATATCAATTCTTTTGTGTAAATGTGGTTTTCCAGGTACTTTACCACATAAGTGTAAGATCGTTATCGCTGGTAATCAGGATTTGACATTTGACGATTCTATGTGGATTGATGAAGAAAGAATGGAACAATCTTTTAATCTAACAATACAAACAGTGAAACAAGTGTTAGAAGAGGCGAATGTGTCTACGATCAAAGAACTACTCAGTAATTGTATATATTTAGAAGATTCTTTGGTAAACATATGTGGAATTCATATATACGGCTCACCATGGTAATTTTTATCATTTAGTAACAAGTGCTAATATCCAAAAAAAAAATGTCCTACGTAGAACATTTATTATAGTCGTGCGTGCAATTTACAATTCTACTGGTGACAAAATTCACCAATATCAATATTTCCTTATGAGTTAATGAAGGGTACGTCAGGTAAGCCAGCGACCACCATTAACGCTTCTATTGAAGTATCCTTATATCATATTATATAATGGCAACTGATCTAGTATCTTAACTTAATCAGAATGAGATATGAATAACAGAAGGTGTGGGTATACATCAACTAAACCGAAATCCAATGACAAACAAAAAACAAATGACATCTTCTAGAGGTCAACATACAGTTTTCAACAATAGACAAATGTTTAGTCAATACAAAAGCAGTCCGAGTCTTAAAATTGTGAATTAATTTAGCAGACACAATCAAAGATCTGCCATTAACCAATATAGGTTGCATGGACTTACTTTGGTAAAAAGCTGGTATTCTTTTACATGCACATCCTTACACCAAGTTGTATGGTACAGTGGTACTCTTTACTTGATTTTAAAACTCATCATGTCACTGAAGCGTTGGAAAATTGTTGGCATGATATTGAGAAACATCCTGCATAATATCTTGTTTCTTGGCAAAGTAGTTTTGCTTCAAGCCCTCGATGTAAACATATTATGGTACAATTATTTCGATATGGTTAACAACTTTTTTGTTGAATGTATAAACATTAAATTCGCATAAAGGTAAATAATTTTGCCCAAGGATCATATTCACTGATTTATAAACTAATTTAAAGTTACTTTTAATTGTTATTACAGGATACCAGAATATTGTAATTCGGCCTTTAATTTAAAGAGGGGCGGTGAACTTTTACAGAAATGGGATAATATACCTGCTAATACAGATATCATCATAAGTCATGGTCCCCCCTTAGGTAAGAGCTATTTTTTTTTCAATTTTAACGTTCGTGGTTGATGACAGTATGGTTATCAACTTCTTTTAAACATCAACAGTGTCAGAGCTCAGACCTGTTTAAAGAAACGAGTCCTTAACAAATCCAAATACTAGTATCTCAATACAGTCCCTAAGATATAATTCTCTTTTTATACATATATGCATTATATACTTCAACTATACTATTTCATATTTAAGAACTATATACCAGTGGTTGCATGGAGATATTTGGATTGGTTAAGGACTCATTTCATTAAACAAACTGGTCGTAGAACCTTTTTTCTATGATATTTATTATGTAATATTTTGCTTAAATGTTTATCGCTATTATATTGATTATAAAATAAAACACTTAATTCATTTCACACACATACACACACTTAAATAATATGTTTATCTTTGAAGTTTTGTACACAGAAGATATTTGTTTAATAGAAAAAAATACTGATAAAATTTTCTGATTTAAAAAGAAATTGAAAAGGAAAACATTGTTGTAAATTGTTTTTTTTTCAGGGTATGGCGATTTGACAATATCAAAAACTCATGTCGGGTGTTTGGAGCTTTTAAATACAGTACAGAGGCGTGTTAAACCAAAATACCATGTATTCGGTCATGTTCGTGAAGGTAAAACTAAATTACAAATAAGATAAATTCACAACTAATAAAAAATAAACAATATTCCTGTATCACTAGAAAAGCAGGAAACATTTTGAATACATTGGTATTACTGATTCCATGCTCTAAATCACTGGTTATTGCTATTTAGATTTAATGTATCTATCTAGTATCCCACACAACCATTTACGTGATGATTTATTTCACGTATCGTGCATTTTGTACTATTTTAAAACCGTGTTTCTCTTTTTTTTAATTTTTGCATATAATGTTACTGAATATTTATAGACGTGTTTCTTGCAGTCCGTTTCTTGCATGGATGTCATGATTATATGTTTGTTTTTTTCAATTTCAGGATATGGAATTATTTCTGACGGATTTACAACTTTTATTAACTCATCAACATGTACTTTTAGTTATACGCCTTCAAATGCACCAGTCGTATTCGATTTGTCTATCCCTAAAGGTCACAGTAAAGATGAACTACTAGAACTGACTGTAACAAAACAAGCGAAACGCAATGATAGATGCTAATGGTTCTGTTAATATTGCTTAAAGGTGTTTTATAAAGAGAAAGAATGCTTTAAATCATCGATGAATACAGGATTGCTAAACACATCGAAAACGAAAAAGAAGATGATATTATCCACTTAACAGACCTACAATTTTAATAATAATGTCCTTTACAAAATTATACGCCTTTATTCATGTATATATTAAAAAATATTGAAAAAGAAGATGCACATGACACAAAACAAAATAAAAAATACGAGTAAGACAATACGAACACAATGTTTTTACTATTTGGTGGGGTGCATTTTATTTCATATTTCATTATTACACAAAGAGGACTAAAGACTTCAATAACGGACGATCCTACATATAGAAAAATTAAAAGAAAAAGTTTGGTATTTTAAGTCAATTTAGTTTTATCTGAATCAGGTTTCTGATGGTTACATAGAATTTAGATGAATATAACACACAACTCAATAAAACGGTGACTTTGTTTCGGATTTTCAATTGAACAAAATCTAAAATACAAAACGATTTTGAAGACAAAGATTGTCCAGTGACAGAGCAGGGGAGTGGTTTATTATTAGGGTATTGAAGCAAAGTCATTGGGATTAGAATTAAATGGTTTGAGTACTTTACATATTTTCTGATTTTTTTTAACGGTATGTCACTTTCAGTAGTAAGATATGCAACGATGTTTCCTTTTACATAGTTTAACGTAAATTTCAGCTTTTCCATATTTGTCTTTTTCAATTTGATTTTTTTTTAAGATAACGTAGGCTACAATCTTACAATCTTACATGCAAATTACTACGCTGGATAGATATGACTTAAGGTAACACGATACCGAATGGCATATCTCCCGATTTCTAAAATGTTTGGTACACTGGTACTTTGAATCGAGTTACATCGGAATATGAAATAAAAATGGGGGTCACCATTTTTGTTTTTTTGTAATTTTTGTTAGAAAACGTCAATTTTGGCGACAAATTTACCTAGTTATATAGGGAAAATGCCTTTTTTTTAACTTATTTCTTTAGATTTTCAATGGATGGCTTCGTTCCAATATACGGAGAAAGATTAAAAACTAGCATAATATCCAGGATTGTATACTGAATCCATGCATGTATAGAAAAACATATGTCACCATCCTTGTTTTTTAGATAAATTGCTTCAAAGTTGACCGATACGCTTAGAATTTGACAGAAAACATGTGACGTTCGACTGAGTTAATTTTATTTCGTCTTAACTGAGTGCACTTTAAGCTTTTCAAAACTGAATCGTCAACTTAACCCTACCAAACTAAACAATGGTGATGTCACCGATGTATCCATGCATGAATAAAATAAAGTGCTTCAAAAATTTGATTTGGTAAACAGTGATGTTGAGGTACAATTTGAATTGATTGATTGATGGTTTGCTTAACGTACGGTGGCAAATATTTCATGAATTTTCAGGACGATACAATACAATTTGAAATAGTTGTGTCTAAAAGACACATTTGGTGCAGCCGTCAAAAAAGGTTAAACATTCTGTTAGTTGTGTTAATTATAAAGAAAATCAACATCCTTATAAAATACACATTCTAAATATAGTATACTCTGTATGATGTAAACGTGTGGGTTGTGTGCGTAGTTAGACGGACAAACCTTGCAAACTGTATGCACAATTTCACATAAATAGACAAAGTTCAACCTTCTGTCGTTCGTGGAAAATTATTAAAAAAAAATGATCCTGAGAATATATATGCACCCTCAATATAGGTAAAAAAAACCTCGGCGCAATATATTATCAAAATGACAAATTCATCAACCTGTCATAAAAGAAAATAAAAAAATCTGACAAGATGCGCATCTTTAGTATATGTACTAACACCAGGTATATAATTTAAAAGTTTAAGCTTAAAAACTGTAGTCCTAAGAAATCAGCCGTATAAACCCTATATACCAAGTGCGGGACGGACTGTCGAACGGACACGAGTAAAACAATATGCTCCCAGTATTTTGTCAAGGGAGCAAAATATATATTAGCATATACGATTATGTTCTATTGTATAAATCATTTGGTGACAAAATATCTTTTTGAATAAGCATTTCATAGTGGAATGGTAATTGGGAGATCTCAAATGTAGCAACGTAAGCAAGCTAACATCTACGTCATTTAGTCTTTGATGGAAAGTTGTCTCATTGGCAATCATACCACATCTCCTTATTTCATAATGGTTTGAGTTTTCCTCTGAAATACAAGAAGTTTAAAGTCTAACAAATACGTACTAGGAGACTGAAATTTGTTGCTGCTATAGTTAAAATCTGATTTTTGTTGTGAACATGTGATGTTATAATTTGATAGATTTAATACTTGCTATACTAAATATACTTATTAACTTTCCAATTCGAGGGACTAACGAATCTTTACTAAAACTACAAATTAGCAGTAAAAAAATACTCGTTCATCCTACATTAGTCATGTGTTATTTAGATGTCTTTGGTTTGTGTGTCGTTAATCGGCCATTTGCTGTTTTTTTGTTTATCCTACATTTCCATTTATTCACACAAAGATATAACAACCCTTTTAATGTAAATAAACACTTGGTATACTTGTAAAAACTCCTTATAAGATTGCGAATATTCTCGGGCTTTTCTCGACGCCTATGTGAGCAATATGCCCATCCCCCCCCCCCCCAAAGGCACCTTTGCTAATCGTCTGTGAGTCGTTTTGTCTCCCCACTTTGTGAAAAGGTGCGTTTTTTTATCAGCTGCACCTATACATCATGTCCAACTCAAAACACCAAAAAAACTGACTCATTCCCGAAGACCAAAGTGCAAATTATTATGAATCTAAATCAAAATGATTTTAAAATTTCGTTGGATTTTTGTCCCCCGCGCGATGCGTTGCGTGGGACATAGAAATACCGGGCGTCCGTCCTTCCGTCCGTCCGTTTGTTCGTCTGGTCTTGTTAGCTCTCTCACGTGTACAATTCTTGCCAGATTTTTATAAAACTTATATATTAGGTTTATATCAGCATTGTCGCTGACAAGCTTGAAAATCAGTGCCGATCAATTATTTTTAAAAGAGTTATGCCCCTTGGAAATATTAATTATATACAAAATTGCATTTGTAAGCGCTCTCACGTGTACTTTTTTTGCCAGATCTTTAAATAATTTATATTTAAGGTTTATATCAGCATTGTCTTGGATAATTTCGAAAGTCATTGCCGATTAAATATTTTCAAAAGAGTTATGCCCCTTGGAAATATTAATTAAATTGGAAATTGCATTGCATTTGCTCTCAAGCCTGCATTTTTCTATTAACGATATTTATAAAAAGAAACAAAAAAAAACATTTTTTTAAAAGTTATAAAGGCCATTGAGAGATACAATATGTACAACGCGAGAGGGTGGCATTGGAACTCTGTTCTTTTAATCAGTTTCTTTTGCCGTTTGAATAAAATAGGTTAATGAAAATATCTTTTAATAACTTGTTTGCGTTCGAAGCGCTTTTCTAGATCAACCTTCATCGAAGCACCGATCATTCATTTATTGAAGGGCCACATGTTTTTAATGAATGGTTTGATTTTAAATTTTGAGAAAATAATTTATTTCATAATGGAATTCATAGAAAAAATATAACGGGATCTGAATGATTTTATTTTATTTCGTCCTAACCGAGTGCACATTTAGTGTTGACATCCCATATGTTTAAGCCTTTGCTAACTTTATCCTATTCCGATGTAGCTGTCCTGTTTAGATTGTGCTTATAAGATTACAATGCTAGTAATTTATTTTAAACAAGCTTCCGAAACCATATCGGATTTTTTCTGTACAGTCCAATAAACTTCAAAGACTGTTTACACGTGAAACATAGGTAACGTTGTTCGGTCAAAATAGTCAAGTTCAGCTAAAATTGAGAATGGAAATGGGGAATGTGTCAAAGAAACAACAACCCGACCATAGAGCAGACAACAGCCGAAGGCCACCAATGGGTCTTCAATGCAGCGAGAAACTCCCGCACCCTGAGGCGTCCTTCAGCTGGCTCCTAAACAAATATGTATACTAGTTCAGTGATAATGGACGTCATACTAAACTCCAAATTATACACAAGAAACTAGAATTAAAAATGATACAAGACTAACAAAGTCCAGAGGCTCCTGACTTGGGACAGGCGCAAAAATGCGGCGGGGTTAAACATGTTTTTTGAGATCTCAACCCTCCCCCTATACCTCTAGCCAATGTAGAAAAAACAAACGTACAACAGTACGCACAGTAAAACTCAGTTTAAGAGAAATCCGAGTCCGATGTCAGAATAGGAAACAAAAGAATATAAACAAAATGACAATAATACATAAACTACTCTTCTTTTTTCATTCCATGCCAACAAACCATTTTCTGTCTGAGTTTATACGTCTGCTTGTACGGTACTTTTTTCGCTAAATTTTTCCGGTATTCTTTTTCTAATAAATTTTCTTGGGAAACGGCATGCATCATTAATAAAATAAGAATGTATTGCAAAATTAAACCAACCCAGAATAAAAAGCTCAATCTGTTATGCATAAGAACACAGATAGATAAATCGTACAAATGCTTACATGTACTTGTCAATAGAACATTTAAAAAGTATATATTTAATTGTAAAGAATGAGAAGAAGAATGGGAGGAAGACGACGAAGCAATCAATGTCAAATAACGTATTGCATAAAATCCCTCGACACTCTGCATCTAGTAGAGGCAAAGTTACAATTAAAAATATTTATTTATTTAAATTTCACATTAGTGTGATTTTTTCTTCTTCTCATTTTTGTTCTTTCATTTGAATCGCGTCTATGTAAATTTTGTTTTGTGATTGAATATGATACGTATAAAAAGCGTCGCTAAAATGAAGGTATTCTTAATATATATATATATCAAATAAAGGAACATTTATCTTTCAACTATTTTATATCAGACTGAGGCAAGTTGTTTGTTAATCGTTCTAAGTTATTTAAAACATCAGGTTTTACGTTTGTCGTCAATTTCATGGATGTCGACAACAGCAAGAACGATAACTCGTGCCGGGCGTAACGTCATTCGGTATCGTGTAACCTTTTTATATTCCTAACAGCCAAACGGACGTCCCTTTTAGTAAGGGTTTGCTGTCGGACGCGAGTCCAGGGATAACAAAATTTCTGTACCCTAGTCAATCCTTGGAGTTTGAATAAAAGAAAATATGGAGTATGAGACAACATCCCAACAACAACAACAAAAAATAAACCATCTAGAGTATTCAGTCATTAATGATATACAGATGCCTATAAAAAATGTCAAGCTAGAAACCGTCTTATGTCTAACTTGAACAGTAAGGAATGAAGTTTACAGTATTTACCACAAAACAATATGCCGACAGACACATGAACATTTTGTGTGGTTGAAAAAAGTCACCCTCTCCTTTTTGATCTCGATCATCGGTGGGACAACATGGTAAATAAAAAAGATGCAGCAACATCATTACAGGAAAAGAACTTATTTATAAATATATATATAAAAAAAAAAACACAAGTACAAGCAAAACCAATATTTTTAAAATACAGATAATGTCTCCACGCTTTGCTTACAAGCCATATAAGTGAAGCGTGGACACAGGTTCTATGTTACAACCAGATTGAAGCAAAACAATAATAAACAATACAGTCTTAAAGAACACTCGCAGTTACTAAAGCAGGTTATCACCTGAAACTACACTGTAATATCGATGGCCGATTACAGAGATGATTTCATACATCTCTGTTATAAATTAATATTATATGCAAACAGTACAGAAAGACACGATCGTTGATCATTGTTGGAACAGTTAATATTAAGTAATATGATATTTCCATTTATGTTACACGACAACTATGAAAACTTTAATGTTGTGGTATTAGTTTTTTCTTTGCAATTCACTTCTTGGTTGAACACTTATATTTAATGTTTTAAAGATTTTTTACTATAAATTAATTGTTATTTACTGTGCCGGTTTTTAGACAAGGTCTATACGAAATTATTTTACGATAGCAAGTGAGAGCAAGGATTTGTATAGTGAGACCCCCTTTACAAATCCTTGGTGAGAGGTATTTTAATACGATTTCATTCATTGGGGTTAACATGTATTGATTGTATATTTTTGTTAACTAGATTGTGCATTTGCACGTCACGTAGCGTAGAGTACCACTATAATTATTGTAATTGGTTTCCGGAAAATACGTACTTTTCCGACAAAGATTTTTAACCTTTGCACAAGTTATCTCCCTCTTTTTAAAACGGCTCTGCAGACGGTGTTTTTCGACGACCATATTTAGATTTTACTTGTAAAGAATAATTTTATTAATAACAAGGCGAATGTAGGAAAAATATGAATTCAAGGTGGAAAGGCAAGTATATGTTTTTTTTTCCAAACTATTAGCTTGTGATTTGTTAGGTTACTGTTTTCTTCGTATTTTGCTTCACACCT